GGAGGGGGGCTTATGGATAGACAGAGGTGATGGTCGAAAGGCTGTGTTGAATTTGTGTCCATGTGTTGAATTTGTTGTTGAGAATATGGCCTCTTTAAACCCTTGTATTGTACACTACTGTGTTTCTTTACTGAACCTTTCCGTACTCTAAATGACAGAGATATCACATGACATAAAAACTGAGTCCTCTTCTGGTCAGGTGACACCACATAGACTCTTCCTTTGTGTCTGAGGGTCCAAGGATTATTACTGAAGACCGGAGGTACCCTTACCATATCCTCTCCACATACCGAGGAGGGCTGGTGGCTCGAGGATTGTCCTTTCTTAAATCATCCATCTTCTCGGGTCTGACAGATGAACTGGTAATACTGGAAACACACACACACACACGCACACACACACACACACACACACACACACACACACACACACACACACACACACACACACACACACACACACACACACACACACACACACACACACACACACAAACAGACATACATGGTTTAAATACAACACTTTAGTGAAATCTCAGACAGGTTGGTCTCCACTTTGACCACATTGCATGCAGGAATGCTTGCTCATAAGCCAGGAAACGGAAAAAGTTACATTTAAAGAAATCACGTTGGACTCCAGGAGGTTCCTTTCTTTATCAAGACTGTGTTTTTCTGTCTAACAATAACAGACTGAATAATAATCTTGTAAATGGTTTTAACACTCACCCTGTTTTTTCCTCCTGCTTTGTCGAAGTACGAAATGGAGTATGCTTCTCTTACTTCATACTTTCACTTTTAAAGTCCCTTCCTGTCTGAGCCCCTCCCTTTGTTACACAACAGGGGTTTTTTGTCAGTTGGTCTCAAGTTACACAGTTTCAGGAAGTAAATCCTGGAAGATAGACATAGATAAGACAAATAGAAGTCCAGTTTTGGTGTAAAAGGAGTTGAATCCTCTCCTTTGTCCCCTTATTTACATCTACTACATCCCTGTGTGCATATGTGTATTGATGACATATAATATATCACTGTTTACATTACAGTTTATTCATTCTGCATGTAGGCTACTGAGCACCACAAATATTGTTATGTCTCATTCATATTTTACATCTGGCTTTCTATTCCTACAACACAAATTCGTTTTACGACGAGGGTCTGAGGAACAACATGTTTGTGTTTCCAACAACTGCTTCTTAGTTACTTATAATGTATAATAAATGAATACAGGAAGTATACATTGTCCTGTTGCTGTGTTGGCAGTAGGACTGGATCAGTGACGCCATCTACTGTTTGTCTCAAAGAACTGATAATAGAATAACTGCTGTGGATGAAAAGCATGCACAAAGAGAAGAAGAAACAGGAACCACAGAAGGGACATTTACATTCTGCATTTGACCCATCCTAGTGTTAGGAGCAGTGGGCTGCCATATGTACGGCGCCCGGGGAGCAATGTAGGGAACAGTGCCTTGCTCAGGGACACCTCTGTAGCACTTGGTCTTTCCGGGACTTGAACCGGTGGTCTTCCAGTTCCCAAGCCAAGTCATACGAACCTCACCACCCCATCAAAAGCATTCACTTTTGAAAATGTTCTCCAAATTCAGTGCAAGATGGAGGAGAATTCAGATTGATTTAAAACAGCTATTATGCTCATTTATATTGTGTCCCTCTACTGTGACATGTCTCCATGCTTTAATGTTCAAAAAGCTATGTTTTCAATAATATTTGCCTTTTTGGCTCCGACAGTCGTCTGTAGAATTCCCCAAATCACAATGTGTTTTAAAGGTTATTTACAGTAGGCCTATTTTGCAGTAACACTGTAAATGTCCCTGCTGTGGGACTAATAAAGGAATTCTGATTCTCTGGTCACGAGTATCTGGCACAACAACAATAGGAAAGGTTATCTAATATGTATTCTTAATATTATATTTCAGAGTTTTATAAAAAAAAAGTTGATGACTCACCCTGCACTTGGGGTTGTATACACATTTTGCTTTCAGTAACAAATAATTGGACACAAGCCATACCAAGATGCATAGGCTCCATTCATGAGTTGAGTCTCGTGTTGCACCTGTACACAGCGAAAAAACACTTCTTCATGGTCATCTTGTTCTCCCAATGCACATTCTGAGCTATTGGTGTGAATGCCGATAAATATTTCCGACACACCCATCCCTACAGCTCACCGTTTTTTAACACAAAGCGAGGAAAATCATATCACACTTTCCTAGCAGTTTAACTGAAACACCAGCAGCCAATACAAACACACGGTCAAACTGTAACCAGACATAACTGGCACTCGTAAATATTTCATCACATTTGTATTCCTAGGGTAGTAGTCTCTTTCAACTCTATGCTATATTTTGAATATCTAAATAACTTGCATTACATATTTGTTACTGGCCACCAACCAGATTCAACATATTTTGTGCAAAAGCACATTTATTTTACTTTAATTTGATGCTGCTCTAGACCCTCCAGAAAAACGCGATTCTGCGATCGCAGAATTTACCGCATAATCAGCAAAATGGCGCAGATTTTTAAAAGGCAGCATATTTATCAAAAGGCCGCATAATCCCCGCATTTTTCCACAAAGTTGAGAAGAAAAAAAAGTTAACTCGTCTTGACGTGACGTCATCATCTCGCGCATCACAGAATGTAAACAACACTGTATAGAGTGAACGTGTGGAGCTCACACGATAGAGAAAACACCAAGATGAAAANTGTGTGTGGGGGGTGGGGGGGTGTGTGTGAGATTAAAATAGCCCAATTGCTTTTACAATAAATAAACATTGAATGTGTTTAATTGAATAGTAAAGGATTTTAACGTTAGTGGCAGGGTGTGTGTGAGAGAGAATAAATAAGACAGCCCAATATTTAAAAAAACATTTATTATTTTTTCCCGCATATTTAGCATATTTCGCAACTTTCCGCATATTTCGCAACTTCCCAGAATTTCACCGCATAAAATCACATAAAAACCCCGCATGTTTAATCGCATAATCAAGGAATTCGGCCCACATCATCAAGGATTTTTGTCCGCGTTTTTCTGGAGGGTCTATGCTACTTCTACTTTGGTATAGGAAATCCCTTTATAAGGTTTTACATATATCCGTTCATATTGTTTTAAATATGAATGATAAGGAATTTGGTTATTTTNTAAAAAAACATTTATTATTTTTTCCCGCATATTTAGCATATTTCGCAACTTTCCGCATATTTCGCAACTTCCCGCAATTTCACCGCATAAAAACCCCCCATGTTTAATCGCATAATCAAGGAATTTAGCCCGCGTTTTTCTGGAGGGTCTATAGGAAATCCCTTTATAATGTTTTACATATATCCGTTCATATTGTTTTAAATATGAATGATAAGGAATTTGGTTATTTTCATTATTTCAGACAATTTTCGATGAAAAAAACAAACCTTAAAAATGTAAAATAATAGGACATTTGACAGTTTAAAGAGCACTTCTGCACCAAAACAGTATTTTCCTTTAATGACTAAAAAACAGATGCCACTCTATTCCATTTTTTGTCAGGAGGTTGGACCTAAATGCAGTAAGAGAGGGAGGCAGGAATACGCAATCAAAATCGAGCTTTTAATTAAGAAAAAGGTGATGACAAAAAACAAGGGGAACCAGGCTAATCAACTAAATCAAAAAACTGAATCTGAATCATAGACTCGTTTACACCCTTTCATATGTTAGATTGTAAACCAGGGTGACGGCATCAGGATCATTGAAGTTAATCAGTGTTCATTCAAGGTTCAAGGCTTCTGTTGTCATAGCTACAGTGTAGTTATGACAATGAAAATCTTAGGTCACAGGCTCCTCCAACAGTGCAAAACAATAAAACACATAATAGAAATAGAAACAGTGCAGAATAGTCTATATACAAGTAATTGGAATATTTATATAAGTTGTAAACAGATGGATGTTATGGATGTTCTTTCAAAAGTTCAGAATCAGAAACAGGTTTATTGCCAGGTAGGTTCACACGTATGAGGAATTTGACTTAAACATAAACATTTAAAACAAACATTGTAAAAAGTACACAGATAGCAAACTATATTAAGAACACTGTAATAAAAATATAGTAAGATAGCAATAAAATAAAGCAGTTATTTACAACGACATAGAATGCAGTAAATTATAGAATATGAAATATGTGCAGTAAGCAATATTTAAACATTGTGTTCAGGTGTTTAACGGTCTTATGGCCTGTGGGATGTGTTCAATATTATCTGTGTCTATTATATCTTACATATTTCACACTAACATTTAGACTGATTAAATATGTTTTGGGACCTGTTAGGTTGGATTAGTTTAAGGGAAGGTTAAAGGTTATTCATAAATATATACATTTTTACAATTTAATACGTGTTTGTAAAAATAATATGTTCAGTGTCTGGACCCCTATTCTACAGCTTCAGATATTTATGGGGGTGCCCCATTTCAAATAGTACGTCTTATGATTGTTTTTGTATGTTTAACTGTTCAAATGAATGAATATAATTGAATACAGTTTGCCTCAGGGACCTCTATCTCTCAGGAATCTGTTTAGCCTCCTGTAAGACAACTGGAATAGATTATATTATACTTATGTAACTAAAAGAACTGGGGAACGTGTGGCGAAGTGGATAGAGCCTTGGTGTTGGGATCAGGGGGTCACAGGTTCAAACCCCACTGCAGTCAGCATGTCGTTGTGTCCCTGAGACACTTCACCCCAAATGTCTCCTGTGGGGATTGCCCACAGTATTGAGTATGTAAGTCGCTTTGGATAAAAGTGTCTAACATGTAATGTAACTGAAAAACCTTCACATAAATTAAAACCTGTTATGCATTCAATTTCATTTAGCTAGTATTTTTCTAAATGGGCTCTTAAAGTGCTATAATTCCTTCATTCAGTGTGTTGGGTCAAGGTACAAGCTACACAGGTGGGTATGCAGTCAGCAACGGAAAATGTGTAGATTTGTCTCCTGTTATGATAGGCCAGTACCAGTCTCTTGACACCAATATGGGCATTAGCAACTGAAGGGAGCAGTGTGGGAGAACTGAGTCAGGTTGCACACTAGTCGGGCAATTTTCCAATCTCGGTCCTGGAATAAAAAGAGCGAACATACTTTTGTAATACAACCAACAACCACTTTAAACAAATATCTTACAAATAACTGTGAAGAAGGCCTGTTAGAGAAGTGCTGATTCTGTGTCTGTAGCTACTGGCCCCGCCCCCTTTGAGCACGACAAGGCAGTGAGGTCTCCTCTCTGCCTGCAGATACTCAGCTAAATGCTGCCGTGATGAAACACCATATCATGTTCAAAACCACATCAAGGATTATTTCTGAAACAGTATGGAGCTCAAATGCTTTTTCTCTTGCCGGTTTACCACAAGGTGAGTTCCTTTTTATTTCCTGCTTTTTTACACATGCTCTCTCCAGTTAGCTCTGAGTGTTAGCGATGCCTGCTAATGTAAACAAAGACCATATTACTTCCAAAACGTTGCACATTGTTTCTGATAGCAATGTTACTGGTAGGGCCGTGGGCGTAAAGTCAGCCCACATTTCCAATATTACATCATATCGGACGCAAATCTGGATCAGCTCCGTTGATGTGTCATTTTGCCAGAAGATGTTATAAGAGGACTTTTTATCCAGTTGTATACCACAGTTTGACCATGTAACTTTTAGATACTTCTAATACTTACAGATCCTCTGTTTCTGAGCAGTAATCCACTCGTCATTTATCCTGCGGGGAAATAAATAGTCATAAATCTAAAAGAAAAACATATCATGGGAAAACCAAACAGACTATCTTTTTTAGCTTTTCTGTAAATTCCTTTCTGTTAGACAGTTGCTTTCTTTCTCAAATGTTGTTTTGCATAGACAGCTTATGTTATAATGTTTGTGTCAATCAGGTATTGACCAAACCACAGCACTGAGCCTGCTCTTGTTAAGATCTTAAATGACATGGAGTTAAAAACAAATATTAGCAGAATCTCACTCTTGATATCTCAGTGCTGTTTTGACACTGTTGGTATTTATACATTTTACATTTTACTAGACCAACTGGAAAGACAGATAGATAGCCTTTCTGTCATAATACTAAATTGGTTTGAATCTTACTTGAAGCACAGTGACAACCTTGTTTTGTTTCTATAGGTAATTACATATCTAAGCGTACACATTTGAAATGCGGAGTTCCTCAGGGCTCCATCCTGGGGCCTCTATTGTTTAACATCTTCATGCTTAAATACAACACTGGCTCAGTTAATTGAAAACAACAAAAAAGTTATTATCAGTTTGCAGATGACACAGCATTGACAGATCAATGATTGGAAATATTAAAACTTTCTTCAACAAAGAATAAACTGATGTAATCATTCAGCCAATGAGGAAGGAATTAAATGTAATTGCTAAGCTCCAATCAGCATTGTTATAACCCACAGAAAAGGACAGAAATCTAGGTGTATTCATATAGATATATCTCAAGAGTGAAATTAAGACAATTACAAAGTTGGCCTGTTATCACCTTAAGAATATATCTATTATTCAATTACTTACTTTATGTCTCAGCAGGATTTGGCCAAAACCTGTCCATGCATGCATCTTTAGTAGACTCGACCACTGTCTTTACATTTCTCACTGAAAAGTCAATTTGACAACTAAGGCTCATTCAGAACGCTTCTGCGCTAGAACTCACTAACACTAAGAAGGTGGATCACATTACTCTTGTTCGTAGGTCTTTACAAAACAGAAGGAGAAAATAAACTTTAGCATTAAGGTTGTCAGAGTGGATCAGTATGATATCAGCCCCTTCAGCTCAGTCAACACATCTCTCACATATTAATCTTAGCAAAGAAGTTAAATATGGAGAACTGACCTGAGAGTCTCCAGTCTACAGTCTGGACTCTCCAGAAGATCACTCAGCAGCTTCACTCCTGAATCCTGCAGCTTATTGTATTTCAGGTCCAGCTTTCTCAGATGGGAGTGTTTGGACTTCAAAGCTGAGGCCAGAGAAGCACAGCTGATCTCTGACAACCTGCAGTCCCTTAGTCTGAATAAAATAGAAGAAAACCAGAGGATGAAAACCTCTGTAATGGTCACACATGCAGAGCACACAGCACACAGGGACATCTGTTCTCTGCTTTTAACCCATCCTATTACCAGGAGTCTAGTGCTAGGAGC